AGGGCTTTGTCCAAATAACGTCTCCAGCTACTTGCTGGGGTGTCTTGCCCCCTGAACACCCTGCATCCAGGCAAGGCAATGCTCCCCAGCACACACAGCTCTCTGTGTGTCCACATGGATCTTGCCCTTCCTTTTCTAATAATTGCTTTATTTTTTCCGAAAATGAAAAAGACCAGGTCTCATCCTTGCACCTAGGTGGGAATACTGCCAGAAAAGATTTCGTTCTGGTGTTTGTGCAGATGTCTTGTCCTGGCTGGGAGGACATCTGTGGGATCACACTCCTGACATAAAAGCCTTTCCTTGCTTGCCTTTGTAATTCCAAGCAGTTTGGGACAAACAAAAAATGGGCAGAAAGGGACACTGCAGGCAGAGGTCAGTGCCCAAAATCTCCAGACACATATAGCTATGGTAGAATCTGATGTCTACGTCAAGAGACCAGAGCATCCAGAAAGAGACTCAGAAACTGAGCTCAGCTCAGTCACACAAATTGACCATGTGGAATATAATCAGTGCTGGGAAAGAAGCTGTGGCTGCCCCATCCCTGGCAGTGTTCAGGCTCAGGCTGGACAGGGCTTGGAGCAACCTGGTCTAGTGGAAGGTGTCCCTGCCCATGGCAGGGGGTTGGAACTGGATGAGCTTTAAGGTCCGCTCCAGCCGGAAACAGTCTGTGATTCTATCATCTCTCATAGCTTTTCCTTCCAGCACCGTTCACTGGAGATGCTCCACCATGCCTGTCCTGGCAGCACTTTTCACATAAAAACTGACCTAAAATTAAAAAAAAGTTTAAACAAAAAGGTTAAATACCTTTCTTCTCCATCCAAACACAAAGCAATTCCTTAAGGACTTAAGGAAAGAATTGTTTTGCTTTAACTCCTGCCAAAATATCTTTGAATTGCTCTGTTTTGCTGTGACCTCATTCTCAAGCACCCCTCAAATGCAGCTCCCACTGCACATCACTGTCTGCACATCACTCTGCCTGTACATCGCTCTCCTCGCGAAAACTGCTCCTCTTGCATATCACTTGGAAGGTCTCGTCTCTTCCATTTGCTTCTATTGCCCTCTGCTGGGCACTGTCAAAGGGAAGGCTGATGCCCTGGACAGTGCCTCCTCCTCGCCTCCCTTTGCAGTTTTGGGAGAGCTGCAGAGCCCCAGGTTGGTGTGACAGAGCTTCCCCGCGATCCCTTGTCACTACTCGCGTGTCCCAGAGAGGCCCACAGATGTGGGACATGGCCAACCCAGTGAACGGCCAGCACATCTGGCCAAGAGGTCACCCGTGACAGTGGGCAGAAACCAGAGGGGTCTGGAGGACATGCATATGTCATGTGTGACACGTGTGAGATAGAGTAGTTTGGCTCTGCTATTGCACCTGGCTGTGCACAGCTTGAAAGCTCTGCGCATCCAAAGCTGGGCCAGGCTTTACCCCAAATCTCAAAGCAGAATGGACAGAGAGAGGCAGTCTTGAGTATCACTTCCTGAAACCTTTTGCTCTGTGCAACCTTTGCATTTCAGCTGCTGTGAGCAGGGGATGTCTATGGTGGTTTACACATTAAACAGAGGCAAAGAGGTTGTCTGGAAGGGCCACACTTGCAAAACTACTGTATGTGCTAGTGAAGTAGTGAAGACCTTCGAACACCACCCAGGTATTGGCAGCTCAGAAAAGGAACAAATTGGTGATATTCAGAGGAATATTCTTCATTTCCAAGCATACCATTTCTGCCCTTTGGCAAAAAGCTCCCCCCTCCCCCCCCAGCGTTTTAGAAGCTTTTGCATTTCATCAGGCTGAATTCAAGGTGGAGAAAAGGAGGGAAGAAAGTGGGGACAATTTTCCTTCAAGAACTGCAGCAGAGAGGTGCTGCCGGGACAGATTGAGGCTCTCCCTTGTGGTGCAGGGAACAGCATGGGGCTGTACCCAGAGCTGGAGGGAAGGGATAGGTCTGGGAGACGGAGAGAGACTTCATACAGGGCAGCCTGGGGTCTAGCTTCAAGGGGGGCTGCCTTTCCTCCTTCTAAGAGGTACCACCTCCCACCATTCCCCAATCTTTCCATCTTCCCCTTCCCAGCAGCTGGAGAAAAAGTCTCAAAGAGTGGCACAGGGAGGAAAACAGATAAAATTAGCAGTGGGTCTTTGGGCACCAAGGGGCTGGAAATTATAGAATAGGTGAGGTTGGAAGGGCCTTCAAAGCTCACCTAGGCCAGCCCCCCTGCTATAAGCAGGGACATCTTCATCTAAATCAGGTTGCTCAGAACCACATCCAGCCTGGCCTTGAGTGTCTCCAGGGATGTGCATCCACCCCTTCTCTGACAACCTGTGCCAGTGTTTTACCACCCTCATTGCAATGAAGGTGTCTTTAAGATTTCACAGCCAGCACCTATCAGGCTGAGGATGGGAGTTCTCCACTTCCAGAAGTCCTCACACAGCCACCAGATTACGGATGACAGAGGAGAGGAACGCCTCGTACCAATTAATTCCCAAATTGTAATTAACATCTGGGGCAGCTCGGTGTGATCCCTAGCTGCTAATGAAGCATAGCACTGCTTTAATTCCTGCTATGCCGCACCATCTTCTTATTAAATCCAGGAGCAGTTTCCATCACATTTCCCTTAAAGGGAAAAAGGGGAAGAGAGAGAAATGGAGCAGGATTTGTCTCAATGAAATATGATAGATTAGCGTTTGTTGGATAAAGAAAGTAGGAATGGGGGGAGGGCACAAGATGTGAAATTTTGTAGGTGCATACGGTATATTCTCTCTTGCAATGACCTCCTTACACCCCATCCATCAGCCTGGGGTTGGCTTATTCTAACTAGCAGAGTCTTTTCTCGTGTCTAACAGGCCCATCAGACACAATCTGCATGCCAATTACTGGAGCAGACCCCCTGATACTGAGGAATGGAAATTAGCTGTCAAGCAAGAAACGGCATCAGCAGGCTGGGTTTGGATTGCCTGTGCTCCCCGCTCACATCCATATGCAGTCTGCTCTGTGTGCAGCCGTGACGAGGGAGCCCCCGAAGGAAAAAGTAATCTAGAATAATAATAAAATAAGAAAAAATAATAATAATGAAAACCCCACCACCAAACTATCATATTTTATTGTTATTCGTGTTGGTTGCCATCGTCCAGGGCACAATGCAAAATTCACCAGAGGGCAAGAGCCCGACGGAGGAGGAAGGCGGGGGGAAAGAGTTGGGATAATTGTGTTTTTACAGTGGGCAGATCAAGTGAGGTAAGGGAAGGATGCAGGGAGGAAATGTTGGCGTAAAGGGCTCTGGGGTGGATGTACACCAGCAGCCACAGGGCTGCAGCACCTCAAACCTGTCCACTGCAGCCCCAGCACCTGTTGCAGGGGGGGACAAATCCCACCACAGGATGGGGAAGCACAGCATTCAGACAGACATACCCCAAAATCAGGTTGGAAATGCACTGGCCAGAGCATGCCTACCTGCGGAAGATTTTCCTTCCCAAACAGGGGTGGCAACAGGCTCCCCATAGAAATTGGTGGCCAAGGCCATGCTCAAGCTGGTGCTTTGCATGGGCAGGAGCCAGCAGCTCTTGGAGAGCTGTGCCAGGAGCCAGGGGAAAAAGGGGAGCTGGAGCTGATGCTGGCAGGGCTGTTTGGTCCTGGAGAAATAATGCACCAAAGGCACAACTGTAATGTCAAATCGCCTGCATCCTGCTGACCCATGATGGAGAGGTGATAGAGGAGAAAGGCAAGGTGGGACAGAAGCTGGTCACAAGGATGCATCACCCCTTGCAGCAAAGGGCTGAAACAGGGCAGGGAGCTAAAGCCGGAGCATGAACTGCAGGGTCACAGCAGGAGGAGGAAGGCAACTTTCTGCAGCCCACCTTTGTGCTGGTGGAAGCCCCTCTCAGCAGCCTCTTCCCATTCCCTGCCTGCAGCTGCGTTCTCAGGGGTCACGGCACCACAACTTGACAAGCATCACTTAACCTGCTTCCCTGCTCCATAATAACCTCATACATCAACCGCAAAGAAACCACGGAGTATGGCTAGAAGGGCTCTACTTCTATGTCCAGCGTCATTATCCCAAGGTCCCTTGGTTTGATATGCAAACAGGCTGCAGGTCCCCAGGGTACCCAGGAGGAGAGTACCCTACACAGCAGATATCGGTTATTCCTGCCCATAGCATGGACCCAGCCTGACATCTAACAGCACTGGGCAAATTCATGCTCCAGCTGGCAGCAAACTGGGCTGACTGTGAGCTCTCTGCATGTCTCAAGTGCCCAGGGACCAATTCCCACCCTTCCAGATGATTCAGCAGCAACACCCCATCCCAGGGCAGCTTTCAGCAGCACTCACTTTATCTGTCCCCTCACAACCTCTTCTTCCTCTTCCAGCTGCCCATCTTGATGCAGTGCTTTACCCCCTTTTAAGCAGCTGGATCCCTTGTCTCACACCTATGACACTCTGGCTTGCTTCCTGAGGATCTGGATGCTGCATCCGGCCCAGCATCCCCCATCGAGACTGCAGCCATCTCCCTTCTTCCTGCTCTGGGATCCCTGTCTCTCACACCTCCACTTTCCTCAGAGTCCCATTGCCCCATGCTTCTCCAGCAACAGGAAATCTGCTGCCTGCTCAGCTTCCCTGGGGAGGTCTCATTGCATCTGGCATGGATGTAAACCTCATCCCTTCTCCCCAGTCATCAGCAGCCCCTTCTCCCAAGCCACCACAGAGCAGCAGAGCAGCAAGCAGGGATTCCACAGGATCATGACAGCCTGAAACTGCCACAGCCAGCACCAAAACCTGAAGTGGTCCAGCTGCTTCACTGGCCTGGCCAAATGCTGGAGCCCAAGCTCCAACTTTGAGATTGTTTTTCCTTAGGGAGGAGCAGTGGGATGGAGGGGATGGGGCCAGACTGGAGGAAAGAGATGACAGCATAGACAGTTGTGCTTTGCTTAGAGAAGGCTCAGGCCCATGCCACCTCCCCTGAGGCAGGATAACTCACACACAGACCAGGCCAGGCTGAGCTGAGCAACTTAGTTGGTTTATTGAGTGAATGGGGTCCTCACTGGGCAATGCTGCGGAAGGACTGGACAGTGGGGCCGGCCGCTCCCCACTCCACAGGCTTGCGGTACTCCCCCTTGGGCAGCAGGTACTGCCTGCCCCGGTAGTTGGGGTGCTCATAGAAAACCCAGACGCCCTCCAGCACTCTGCAGGCATGGACCTCACGCATGTGCCACTCCTCCAAGACTGAAGGGCAGTCTTCGGTGGTTTCAAACATCTGCCCACCAAAATCTCCCTTCTCAAATACCTGGATGTGGCCCCGGCCTCCACTTGGCTAGAGGAAAAGGAGAGAAAATGGCAGAGAGCTGGAGAGGGGCACCCGTACATCTCTGACAGATGACAGAACCTCGCTCCAGCAGATGAGAGCAGAGCTGAGGCACGATTAGACTCAGACCAGGTACAAACCACTCCCCCAGCACACCAGGACAGGGTTAAACAGCCCCCCAGAAGCACAGTGGGGAGTCAGTCGGGATAACTCTTGCGTGGGCATCACATGCAAAGACACAAAAGCACCGAGCAGAGCAGTTTCAGCTCAAACCCCCACCACAGCCCCACTTTGGCAGGGAGGAAGGCGGCAGGGAAGGATAAGGCCAAGTCAGCAAGCGCTAGGCTCTCCACCCCAGGCAGCCTGCCTATCCTGCTGCTGGTCTGACCCTTCAGCCACTCCACGTGAGCATCAGGAGAGCCGGACCCCCTGCAGTCCCCGCTCCTCCAGGCAACGAGGAGTTTAATGAGCTGGTGACCCCGGCTGAGTTGTATTACAGGCGAACACAGCGTGGGTATTTTCCACTGTGATTTGAAGCGCTGCGTTGCCTGAAGGCACTGCAGGTTTAATCTTCAGCTGCCTGGACACCGCCTATCCTCCACTTCCCCCCATCCACTCAAGTCTGCTCTCATTGCCAGCCCCAGCCGAGCTCTGCAGGGTCTCCTCACTGCCACTGGGATGCTCTGACTCAACACCTGCAATGAGCAGGTCCCCATGCACCATCCCCAGGCTCAGGAGGGGAAGCCTGGCACCAGGTGGACATGCAGGATAAGGCCTCTGCATTCCATCCTGATGGGTGTTTTGGTTCCATCTTTTATTGCCAGACCTGTGTTCTGAACTGGCTGGAAACTCTTCCTGCCCTGTGCAAAGGGATTTAGACCTAGCTCAAACCCAGAAAAGACTTCAGGCATAAAAGCAAAACCCCTTCTCAGCTGCGAGACCTGCTCCATGCTGACTTGCTACTCAAGACACCAATGCACAGATCACCAATGTCTGCCCTGCTGCTGGCAAAACCACAGCGGCAGCACTCAACAGTCTCAACCCCAATTCACGCTCCATCTACGCTCCCATCCCTGCCAGTTTTAAAGTGTGCTTCTCTCTATAGGCTTCCCAAAGGGATCATTCCCTCTGTTCCTTTCTCCCCGCCAGTGCTTCCACAGAGTGTAAACACTGTGGGATGGATAAACCCATATTTATCCCGTCTCCTGCTGGTGGAAGGACATGTGCTGACAGAGGCTGCAGAAGCATCTTCTCATCCCCAGTTAGGAGGGGATGGGCACAGTTACTGCAGCAGGGAGATATGCATTGCCCTGTGCTCTCCTAATACCAGGTGACACAGGGCTGCTCCAAGCATGCCTATGGAGGACTTCAGGCACTCCCAATTCCAGTCACTCCAGGTCTGCTACTGGGCCCATTATCCCCATGCCCAGAGGGGCTTCCTGGTACTGAGAGTTGGTTCCCTGTATTAGAAGGGAGCCCTGGCTTGCTGCAGGGGCAAATAAACTGCCCCTCATTCCAAGTGCTCCTGCAAAATCTGCATCCCACTGTTACAAGCCTTGTATCCACCATCTTTCTTCAGGGAGAAAACAAGAGGCAAACCTTGGAGTGACCTGCCTGGACACTGAAGTCCCTAGAGGAACACACAGATAAAACTATGCTGCTGTTCCTATGGAAACTCACCTACAAAGCACTCCAAGGCATCTGTTTTTTCCCCACTGTAGCCAAGAGTTCTTCACTCCACCAAACACCTTGCTATTCCCAGAGAAGGACTGCAGGAAAAAGCCCCCTATAGCCATCCTCCCCAAGGGAGCACCCACAAACATACTGAAACCTTTTAATTATAGGTGTGCAAATTAAGATGTCCCTTGAGAAGAAGTCACACTTACTATCTGAATGGCTTTGCAGGAGCCAAGGCGGTCGTTCAGGCCCATCCAGTGCTGGTAATGAGGATACTCCCCTTGTGTCAGAACATACATGTTCCCAGAAAAGTTGGGCCTCTCATAGGCCACCCAGGCACCTCCATCCACACGGATGGAGTTGCAGCGGCTCAGGTAGGTGTGAAAATCAGGGCAGTCACCGTCACACTCATAGCTACGGCCTAGGAAATTCTTGTCTTCATAGAAGGTGACCTGAAACACAAGCAGAGGAAGGAAGGCAGGGAGGTTCCTTGTCCCCCAGCACATGCTTGCAGCCATATTCTAGCCACATCATGACATGAAATGTCTGAAAACAAAGCCCTCAAGATGTTAAAAGGTCATGGAGCCCAAGCATTGAGCAGGATGAACTCCATCCCATCTAACCCTGGCAGCAGATTCACCAGTGTGGTCCCAATGACTTCAGTCTGCCACCAATGTCTTACCCTTCCCTGCATCTAATTCTGTTCCAGTCCAACCCAAAACTCCCTTGGTGAAGCCCCAGACAGCAGCAAAACACTATTAATACATTTCTATCCCACCTTGTCTAGTTCAGTAGTTACTAAATTATGGCCAAGGGAGCCAACTAGCAGATGGACTGTGTAACCTGTCCCCATGTCTCTCCCTCCTGAGTAAGCTCTTCCCATCTTCAGTGTGATAGAGAGTTGGGAGATCACTGTCTTTCCATGAAATGAATAAAAGTTGTAAAAGGTGTGCACTAAAATGTCCAACCCCTCTGTGCCCACACTAACTATGTTGCTTGGCCCTTGCCAGCCACAGCCCTGCTGCTGCTTTACAAATCCTGCTTCTGGATCTTTGTCCCTAGAGGTGTCCCCTGAAAGATCTACCAGCATGAGCCCAGAAGCAACACTGAAAGCCCTGCCCATGGAAGCTTGGCAGCCACTCATCGTCAGTAATCCTCTTCTTGAAGCCAGTGGTCGAGGAAGCTACAGCATCTTCCCCTGTTCAGCCTCACTCCCCAAGCTCTGCAGTCCCACCGCTGTTCATGCAGTGAGGCTCCAGCAGGGTTAATGATGAACTCTGCCCAACATCTGTAAGACCACAGGTCTGGTCTCCATGCAGGCAGTACTCTGCCTGGGCAGAGGGATGCCTCCTCCAGTAGTTGGCAGTGGGAAAGGAATGGGTCTCCATCACCTCTGGTCCTGGTTCTGCATAAGCTGCCTTGATTTTGTGGCTGACATCCAGCAGAACTAGCTCCTATCACAGCAGCTGTGCATGAAGTTGGTTAAGTTGGCCTTTAGTTTTGTAACAGAAAAGCTCATTTGATGTTTCTTCTCCACCTAGCCTGACACAGTACTGAACTTCATTGTTTCCCTGTACTTATAAAGCCACAAAGTGAAAAAAATCCAAGAGAACATTAAGAGTATGGCCATTCCCACAGCACAGTGACCAAACAAGTGGTGTTTGTTTTATTCCTAGATCATTTATAGGAAGAGTTAAGGACAGGGCTCCTGCCCACCCAATTCTCCACCACAGCCCTTTGCACACACACCTCAGTTCATTCAAGACCCTCACACCTGGCGCTCCTCAGTTTTCCCCCAGCAGCTCAGTCTCAAGCAGACCCGACTGACGTTTCTCACCCGCAGCATAATGACAGGTGAATTAGAGATTTCAATTCCAGATTCGTCAGCTCATTTCAGTCGCATCTTCCTCCAACACAAATCACCTTCCTATAGGAAAGCCATCAAGTTTCTCTGCTTACAGTGCTAACCTGTTAACCACTCACTGCCCAAACTTGCTTTTTGGGGCTTACCTGGCAGATAACAGATTTGCCATAACACATCTTCCTTACAGGGCTGTAAAACTCTTACTCCTTTGGCCTCCTCATAGCAGTTACCATATTTCTTCCCAATAGTGGCTCTGTTAGAAGAAAGCTCATAAACAGTAACTACCAGTGCCCTCTAAGTAAGCAGCATGGAGGCAGCAACTCCCTTTCTAGGGCACACTGCTTGCTCAGGTTGTGAGAAACGGTGTTTAATTATTTCCTTTGCCCTCTTCTTCTTCCTGGGACGTGCTAGATAAGAGCATGGCATAGAGAAAAGAGGAGGTTCACACTCTTTCACTGACTTAAGTCTCCTTGGACATTTTGTTGCACCACATAATTAATTCCCTGTAGCACACTCAACAGGGACATGGCTTTTAGCAGGGGTAAAGGCAGGATGTGTTTGGGTCTCTTCAAGCAGACAGGAGACTCCAGCATGAATCAGTTCCAGTTCCCCAATACCTTCTTTATGCACAGGTACATAAAGACTGTACCACTGCAATCTGACAACCAGCAGATTAGAAGCAAGCAGCACATCCATCTTCAGTTTCTAAAGACTGCTCATAAATGGCCAAATCACTTTGAGCCAAGATCATAGATGAAAGGAGCAGGGAAGCAGAGACTGATCCCAGATCTTCCGTAGACATCAGACAATGCCTACACACCACTCCGCTTCTGAGCCTTCTGCTACCTTAGGTCTTACAGTCCCAGCACTGTGGAGGAATTTACCGAAGGAATGTCATGCGACAGCAACTCATAAAATGGAAAGATGTACATCTGACCACAGCCTCTTAACTGATGTTTAATATTTGACAGGAGGAACTGGCCACTAGCTAAAGTTCTTGCCCTCCTTTCCCAGCTGTTTATTCCTGCCTAGTCCCAACCTTGCAACAAGGTCTGTGTGACCAAACAGCTTAGCTCGGCTAACATCAAGGCTGAAGAACACAGCATTAGAGCTGGATCGCCATCTGATGCACACCCTTGAAGCTGAACTTTCTGATGCATCTCCTTCTCCACTTTAAAGTCACCTCTGATTCTACCAAAACAAGGCCAGTTGCATCTCTCTGGGAATGTTACTGGTTTCAGTGCTGTGGTCATCATACAGGCATCTTTCTGTCACAGCACACCTTTTGCTCCACCACGGGAGGGGAAAATGGAGGGTACCCGACACGGACTCAGGTCATCCCAAGGAAGCCTTCCACAAGACTCTGCTCTGCAAACGCAGCTCATCAGGTTTGCTGCTGGCAGAGCAGCCTCCACCACTAATGTGCAAGGCATTAGGCCTTGGTGCATCTTTAAGTATGCTCTCACCAGTCACCATGTTCAACTCCATCCTCTCACAGAGCCACACCTAGAGGAGACAGCCAAGATCTGGGAAAAGACTAGCAAGGGCCCTTAGCCATGATAACAAATAGGCTGCAAATAAACTTACCTTGGTTTCAGCTCCGGACATTTTCTGTTCCAGGCAAGCTCCCTAGTGCTAGAGGAATGTCAGAAGCTGTTACAAACAGCCAGGATCCGAGGCACCCTTTTTATAACGGGTTTGTTTTAAACGAGACAGCTGCTTTGTCATGAGAATAGGATCCAAAAATTGAGTCAGTAATTCTGAGGCTATAGCCGATTTCCAGAAAGGCAAGCAGGATTATGGAATAAAGGAAGGCTTTGCCATCCTCCCTTTGTTACCATTTGCTGAATCAGAACACCAAAACTCTGCCAAACACACTCAAAAACATGCAGCCCCCCGCCAAGTCCTGGAGGATGGGGTGCAATTTGGCTGCTCTCTCCCTTTTAAGCATGTTAAGCAAGAAGGCATTCTGTCAGTTCCAAAAGGCCCACCTCTGCCTGTGAGGAGGAAACCCAATATTCAGAGAACATCTAGCCACACCCCACCAAAGGGTCAAATAGTAAGGAACTTGCCCAAATTTCTGACCATATCTGCTGATGTCACAAATTCAACTCAGAGCTCCTACACCACTACCTGAGGCTTGAGCAGAAGAGTTTTCCTTTCAGCCCACTGAGCAGAGGGGTCAGAGATTGCTGGCTTACATACACCCGCCAGCACGATATGAAAAAACACCTCTGCAGCTATTCACAGCACTAGCCCAAAGGCTTAGTGAAACAAAGGGAAATGAATTCGGCACAGCAGCGCCTGCAGCACACAGACCCCATTTCAAATCTGTCAGGACAAACAGTCTGGCAGCAGCAGCTCTGCATGCCATCCCATGTACATCGCTGCAGCAGCCTAACAGACAGCCTGAAACAGATGTGCTCAGCAGTATCTCACCCTCTCCCTCTTTAGGGGTCTTGAATCGCCCAGTGCTGTTGCTTACAGCTCTTACTGCTCAAACGCTGTGAGAACACTTCACATATCAATTAAAAAGAAAGTAAAATCTGCCTTATGAAGATCAGTGTTCAACCACAATCCAGGTCCTATCGAATGACAACTCAACAGCTGCCTTTGGTCATCCAATGCCTCTGCCTATTTTGCCTTCCTTATTTAGGTGCTCAGCTACAAGCACATCTTCCCAGGACTGGTTCCACCGGCCCCTGAGAACAGTACTCATTCAAGCTGATACTCTCTAGAAGAAATACTAAAGGTAGGAAACAGTATTTGTATCAAAATGTTGTGCTAGGGCAGCCTTCAAAACATTCAATTCCATGGCTGTTAATAAATTGGCACTTTTCTCCCTACTGACCGGTTCACATTTCACAAGGGAGTAAAGATGCTGTGTCTGACACTCATTGTACAGGTAAAAGTAGGACATATATCAAGCTTATTTAAGAACTCTGTTTTATTGACATTTATCAAAAACATGCAAACATACAAAGAAGTGAATTCCATAAAATCACACTGCTTAAGTGCCATCTCTGTATTTAAAAAAATCCATCTAAATTTAAATCAATTTGATTAAAAAAATCAGTTGAATTTCATTCACAACAAAATCAAACATTTCTTTTTCACATTCACAAAAAAAGTGCAGCTGGCTTGTACCATAAAAAGATGCAGGTGACGCCAAGGGCCCTGCATCCAGTTTTGCACCAGGGAGGGCTGCTTTGCTGAATACTTGCACACCATGGACACTAGCCACAATGACAGCCTCCTCACTCAAGGAGGCATACTTCTTCATCCTCTAGCAACATACTTTTTCAGTTACCAACAGAATAGCTGCAGCACATTCCTGGGAAAGTGGCAGCAATCAGAAATCCTAAACCAGACAGACAGTCCAATCCACACCAATGGTGGGTGTCAGATCCACGTCAAGTGAGTTCAAGCAAGACGGCCACAAAGCCTTAACGAGAACTGTTTTTCTAGAGCTCTGTAACAAAATAAGAGGAGAAAATTTTACTACAGCACCAACAGTGAATAAGCAACTTAGAGAATAAAGAAAAGGGGAAAAAAAACAAACCAAAGTTTCTAATGGCTTTGTTGCCGATTTGGGACTTTCTAAACAAAGACACGGAGTCTAGTTCAGAAAGGAGACATTGTTTACTCTCTGCACAGTGCTCAGAAGTCTCCACAAATCAAGCACCCCCAGGATCGTAACTTTAAGCTATTTATATATTTTGACAATGTAATCAGTGTCCTTTGTTTGAGAGTTACACAATCAATTAGTATTCCACCCTTTACTTATTGGTTAAAAGTCCCTCTTGCCTCTCATGCTAAACAGGCACTATGTTCAGTTAAGCTAACAGTGTCTTGTAATCAGTGGTGGCCCCTCAGCATAGGAAAAACTGAGCATGGTGCCAGATAAAAAGTGAGAGAGAACTTCTTCCAAGTTAAAAGATCTCCCCTATATTTGCCCTGATGGGCCAATATGCATCCCAAACCAATTCTTAGGAATATAACAATAATCCAAACTCCACATGCTCCAGTCACCACCGTAATCATGCACGGGAATACCTTCAGGTGCCTTTTACTCCTCTGATACGTATCTTTTCTGATACAAGTTGCTCAGGGGGTGAAATCAAAACAGAAATAATAGTAACAATATCTTGTATAGGACATCGCTCAAGAACTCACCACAACCAGGGGTTCGCCAGGAAAGTCCCCGGATAATCACACCGGTGTGTGCTGGAGTTCATCTGGCGAATCCCTCTGGCTGCGATGATTCCCCAAGCAAGGTCCAGTCCAAATAGTGTCCCATCTGGGCCACCAAAAACTTGTGGAAAAGCATGATAAAGGCTTGTCTCTGGCTCCTAAACCACTTCTGCTTGCGAAGAAAAAGACACTACAATGTAAGAATTATTTGAGTCTCACTCGGCTCTCTTAAGCAAAAGGTGAGACAGGTAAGTACAGATATTAATGCACAGAGCCTCTTTGAAAGAGCAGGTTCAAATCAGGTTGGTTTTTGGTTTTTTCTTTTACATCAGATTACGTACAATATGCCTGTCTGCCTTTACAGATGCACACAGCATCTTTTTCTCCAACAAAGCAAACAGAACACCTGCACAGAACAATGGATGTGCTGAGTACACAATGAACAGATTCAAACTGAAAAGAGGTTTTGACTGCAAAATAAGAACTAAAACCAAACACAAGGCTATTGGGAGAATAGTCTACTGAACAGCCTCCTCTTTCTTCTACCTCTGCCTAACCTGTATACACAACCATGGGACAACTCTTGAGAAGAATCAAGAGAAACAGGCTTCTACTCACCCTTCCATTCCTTTTGCTGCACAGGAATGGGATGCTATCCTGCTGCCTGCTTGGAGCCTACTGCAGGAGGGACAAGGCTATCCAGCTGCTGACGGTTCCCTGTCTGAACCAGCCATTCATAAAACTTGGTTTCTACCAGTATCTGGAACTGTTTCCTCTGATCCCTGAAACCAAAAGATCAGCAGGGAAGTATGTAAAGCTGTCACTTATTTATAGCATTATACTTTTAACTGCACCTTCACTACCAAAACAAGCCTCCCTATGTATCAGCTAAGAGCTGGACTTGGTTCCTGAACTGTCTTTATCGGAAGAAAAGGTTTTTACCAAGTGAGCACGACTGCAATGAACCCCAAAGGCAGAACTTGGTGGCGGCAGAAACCACGCAAATCTCCCCATCCCACTAGCACAGTAAACTTGCTCCACAGGGCTGCTGAGGAGGAGCCCATTCCTAATTTGATGTGCTGATCCCATCCTCTAGTGTGAAAAGCAGCACATAAGCCCTATTCATTTTTGTGCCACTCAGCTTCAGAGAGGCTCAGTGTGCCCAGACCCTTTTTTCAAGTTATAGGCTCTTCTTTATACTATCACTTCCATTTGAGATGGTCCCCAGAAAGCAGGGTTCTACGACAGCAACTAACCTAAATTCCTCCCCAGTGAATGTGAACACAAAGGCAGTCACTGCTTTCTTCCCTTATGGCTTTATTTTCTCCAAGTGCTTTTTATATACCTTGATCTGCTACTGACCCTGAAAGACTTTCTGCCCGATATGCTCAGGAAATGAATAAACAGGATTTTATGCTTTTGCAAGTTGTTCCTCAAGCTGTCTTATTGGTCCTGTCTTACGGGGGGTTTACTTTCAGCCTGGCAGGATTTACATTCTTTTTCTGCCCCACTTTCCTCATTCAGACAACTTCAACTTCTTGAAAGAAGTCTTCTTATTTCTAACATTCTCTTTCACCTCCCCGCTCAAGCATGGCAGCTTTTTTCTTTCTACAAGTTTGATACCCTGCTTGCTCTAAGCCTCCTAGTTGTCTCCCAAGTTGTTTCCCTGCCTGTAGGAGACAGACATTTTACACCATCAGCTGCCCAGTTTCTCTTCTTAGGAAGCTTCTAAACTTGCCACAGTTCTCCCCCCTTTTATGAAATAAGCCACTCCAACTAGAGAGTGGCTTGTTTCCTGTGACTGCTGTAGAAGAGGTTAAATCTAACCATAAAGTCTAAAGTTGTAACTTTTCTCTCTGCTGACCTTGAAGACTCAGGGCTGAAAGTCCAGAGTCACTTCTGTCATCACTATTGGGTCACCACTGCTCAGCCACCCTGAACCTGCAGCAAAATCCTGACCCAGAATCCTTTCTCTCTCCATCTAGAGCTCTTTCAAACTGCATGCTCCTCCACACTCAGCATGGAGGCACCTGGATTGCAGAGAGGATCAAGAGAAGCACGGGGAGCTCCTCCAAAACGATGAACCATCAATTGGGCTAGAACTCCTCAGCCTGGTATGATGGGAAGTATTGACAGTTTGACCCAAGAGGAGGTTTTCACATTCCGAGTTCCCTACAGGATAAACCCCTCCAAAATCACTGCTTATCAGCACCCAGTCACATACCTGTTACAAGTCATTGACTGAGCACAGAACAGAAAGAAAATCTATACAGCTTAAGTCCAGCTTAGGGAACTAAACTTGTTCTCATCTTTTCAAGTCTTTACAATTGAATATCTGGGTTTCTAACCCCATTCTGTATTTGCAATGGAAGACAGGTACTTCAGGTTTGCAGTTCACAAAAAAACATAAAAGCAGCTAAACTGAAGTCAGCAGAGATTCTGCAGCCTTGTCCAATCTGGCTGGCTGCAGAAGAAAGCATGCTGACAAAGAAGCAAGAACTTTGTCAGAACTCCACAACAGGTACTGAGAAAGCAAAAGCACATGAGGTGGGCTAGGCCAGGTCTAGCTAGTACAGTAAAAGCTGGGCAGAGGATGTGATGCGATCTGATAGAGGACTTTAAAAGCTACTGTCCATGAGGTGATCTACTGTAATGATTCACATGCACATTCTCAGCTCACCTCAGCAACAGATGGGACAGTAATTTAAAGCTTCAGCCTTCTTGTAATGGTTGGACTAAGATCCAATCAGCTGCAGGCCAATAATTAGTCAAGCTGTTGTTCAGGGTATGCACCTAGATGTCACCCACAGCAGCATGCAACACTGGAAGCAGAACAGAGACAGTGCCCAGCATGAGATCATTTGTAAACTCTTACTACTGCCAGGATGGCTCCCTCATGTCAGCCCTCAACAGTATCTGGGCATGCTTTTCATTGAATCTCACATACTCCCATTTGGATGCAGCACTCACTTGGTCAGGCCTGCCTCCTTCACAGTTTTCTGCCATATCTGCACGTTCTGCTCCCGCTGACTCAGCGCCTTCTGATACGCATGGGGAAGCCCACCTGGCGTCTCCGTGGTGTCTCCTTCCATCTCAAAAGGAATCACGAAGGTGTAGAAGTCCGAAGGTGGCAGGAGGCGGAAAACACTCTTGTCACTGCTCTCTTTGCACACCAGCATGGGACTGTCCCAGTAGTTTGGCAGAGTGGCCAAGCCCACCTGAGCCATGTGGTCTTCAAGCATCGGATAGTGGGTGTGGAAAGGGGCAAAGCTGACTGCTCGGTTCCCCGAGAGGATGAGAGGCTGGGTAGGTGTGAGAGCGTAAAAAGTACAGCCAGCAGTGGAAGAAAGGGACAAACGATGGCAAACCACGATGACCTTGATGCTGTCACAGCTGTGGACGTGCACAGATGCCTGCACAGGGCCGAGGACAAAAGTGCTATTCCGGCACTTCTCAATGGTCACAGACCTGCAAAAGAACAAGACGGAGAGGACACAGTGAGCAGGAAAGAGCAAACCCAGGACTTTTTCACTGCTTAGTCCATCTAACAAGAATGTAGCACTTGAACAAACTTGCTGAAAAGACATCTAACTGTGTCTCAGGAGAACAAAAACTCACCGGAGGGGAGAGAGGAGGTAAATGAAGGACTCATTGCAGCGATGAATTCTTACATGAGCCCCTACCAGGGTGTCCGAGCTCTTGGCCAGCGTCTGCTTGTACACTTGACTCATTATCACCATGGGAAACACCTCAGGCACCACACAAGTATTGCAGGCAATCTTTGCTCTTCTGGTTGTTCCTTCAACTGCAAAATAAAGTTCTCCAGTGCATTTAATTGTGGCTTTTTTTTTTTTTTTTAAGCCCAAAAAGGCTACACGAGATTCCTACAGAGAGACAGACATGATGGCTCACTGTCCACATTACCCAGCAATCGCTCAAGAAAATAATCAGCCCAAAACTTGCAGGATAGTACCATCAGACTCCACACTTCATGCACCAGTCACACCATCCACCGACGCCTACCAGGCAGCTCAGCAGCACAAAGCAGTCTGAAGCTCCAGAAGTCAGGGCACATTGAAAAATCAAAACCATTTCAAGATTATCGAGGGGTGGCCAATGCCTCCCACAAGCTACAGGAAGCCCTGACCTGGGCATCTCCAACTCCAGAAGTCTTTTCCCAAACACGAGACTTTGCTTGGCAGGAAGATCCTTATGGCAAGTTTTATGTTGAAAGCAGGAACTGTATGTTTTAAGACAGTGAAATGCTCCCTCTACAGTCCTTGAGCAATCTCACTGCCCCACCTAACACATGTCACTCTTACAATTGTGGAGTCAGAGAAACAAAACATTCATTTGAATTTTTTTCTTCCCAAGGTAGAAGGTGCCTTGGCTCCACTGCCATGTCCTTGCAGGCAAGGGGCTGCTATTCAAGCCAAGGAAACCCAGACCAGTTCTCAGCTTTGCCACAAACACATCACATTATCTCTGTGCCCAGCTGTACTTAAATAATAAGCATACTAATCCTGATCTCACTCAGAGGGGCCTTTGACAATAAGATCATTAATGTTTGCTCACAAAAGTGATTCAAAGATGAGAAAAACATACACAGATGTCATGCAGCACTCTCTCATCTCCCAGACTTGCCCCTAAGCTGCCACCTTCCCCACGTCCACAGGAAAAGGAGGCAAGCCCTCACAAAACTGCCAGATCCCCAGTCAGCAAGAGGAGCTGAGACTTAAAAGCTATGTCTAAAGATAAAGACAAGGCCTGTAGGTACCTTGCTGTGCCCATGCGAGTTTCTTCCCAGACTTGAGGCAGGCAGTCATTCCAAAAGGGTTTGTTGTCAGGCAAGACCGCAGCCAGCTCTCTAGCTTGGGGAAAGAGAAGGCTCTAGAGATCTTTGAGTAGCCATTCTGCCCAGGACAGGACTGCCAGACGGCAAGCTCGTGCAGTGGATGGACCGTCCTGGATTTGTTCACAGTTCCTTCAATAAGGAAGCTGAGGGCACAGACAGCTTCATAGGACACCAGGCTGCTCTGGGTTGAATGGGAGGAGGCACTGAGCTGCTCAGGCTCCAACAGCAGTTCAAGCATCTCCAAGAGGTGGCTCTGCACAAAGGCACGGTGGTCCTGATCGTTCCAGATCTCAGTGAGCAGAAAGAGACATAAGGAGAAGGTGAGTTCTCACAAAGCTGACATTACATACCCTTCCTTACACTTGTTCTAAAAGAGAAAGTGAAGTCAAACATGGTGGTCTCTCCTGCTCACTGTTTCTGCTGCCTTGCTCTTCTAAACTCAGAAAGCAACCTCCCCCAGAAAGGGAAAAATAATATTCTACTCCAGGTAGCAAATATTTAATTCTAGAAAGCAGAAAAACTCTCCCACAATCCTTCCTGCACAAATTCAGCCAGCTCATGGCTGGTAATTGAAGGTAGGAAATAAATCAACAACTGACAGTCAAGGTCTTGAAAATGTTCTACTGGAAAATCACTGCATCTGTCCCAGACCTTCAGCTATGATTCACTGCCACCTTCTGAGGCGCTGTGGGGAAAAAAGCAGAGGGTCATCTCTTTACAGCAAGAGGACCAATAAACCAAACTACCTCTGAAAGGATCATCAGTTTAAATTCTAAAGGGCTCCAAACAAAAAAAAACAAGGCAGAATTATGGCAGATCTTACTAAAGACAACTGTGGCTTGCCTGCAAACTGCAGAACAAGCAACACATGCTGCAATCACACACTGTCCTCACCATCACATCTTATCCAGGAGTTTCGATCCTTGCTCTGGGACAGAGACCCTCTGGCACCAGACAAGCCCCACTACACCACTGAAAAAGGCTGAAGCTGGGAAATCTCTCTCAGTCACACAAAGTAACACCAGTGGAGCCAACCCCAGTCCTGTTGGGACCAAAACCTCTGTGTAGGTTACAGTGTCAGCCAAGTCTCTCCTCCTTCCTGTCCCAAGTTCTATGAAATGGCAACAGCTAAAGGAAAACATCAGCTTTCAAATAACACTGGATGCTCCACAGCAACCCAACTCACAGCCCTGTGTCAGGTCCCCTCATTTCTTTTCCCATTTGTTAAATCTTTCAGTATAAAGTCACCCAATTCCTGCTTTTAATTCCTGCAGTTTCCCCCAAGCTGTACTTCACTAGCTCATATAGCTCCCAGCATTGCAGTCATGACAGAAATCCACCACAATTTGCAACTACACTTTATGACACTGCCCACCTACAATTCACTCTAAAATCAGAGCTACACCAAACACATCCAACTTGATTCTCTTCTTTCAACACCTGATAGTATTTTAAAAGGAGACATTAGCAATTCTGTGCATTTGATCAACAGCTGATCAACCAGCTCCCGTCTGAAATACACTGTGAGGGACCACCTTGGGATCCTAATACTTCACAGTGGATCACAGGACCTCCAACCCAAGAAAAGCTTCCCATTTCACCAAAGGGGCAGTTGCTTCTTAAAAGGAGAATTCCCATGATTTTGGGAGTACTTTCACAGCTCAGATTCAATTTACCAGCAATTCTGCAGGTAAAGCTGCAGAGAATACACCAGCTCCTTTCCATTTAAGATTGTGTGAAGCATGTCCAACCTGACCCTAGCTCAGACTTCACCACAGGCAGAGTCGCACCCTCCCAAACATAAACCATCCACTTTCAACTCACCTCAAGGCAGGACCGTGCAGCTCCTCACACGGCCACACAAGGAGACTGTCCTACAGCTACAATTACCTTGCTCTCGCTGGCTGATTTTCCAGTCAGGCTGGGAGACTTGGTCCGGGGGCTGGGCCACTCCTCCCCGATCAGAGACCTCCGCAGAGACATCTTGCTTACCTGCTGGATGTACAGGAAGAGCAGGAACTGCAGCGTGTCCACCGACAGCTAGACAAGAGAGGAGAAAAAAGAGGCGTTAGGATGGGCTGGGCTCTCCCCACGCCTGCCCTGCTCGGGTTGGGACTCCTGCCTTGCTCCGCTCCTGTTCCAGCTCCTCGGCGCTGGCACAGGTTGCCTCGGCCTCTGCCCACTCAAGGCTGCGCGGCGGGTCGGGCCGGAGAACGCTGTGGAAGAGCTCGAAGTAGAGCCAGGCTAGGCCGCGGTCCAGCTGCAGCTTCCCGCAGGCGATGTGCCGCCAGCGGGGCCACGACAGCCGCGGGAAGCAGCCCTCGGCCGCCCGCGCTCGGGCGTAGGCCGCCATCTTCCGGAGATAGTGCGGGCCGAGGCGGGCGGGCGGCGGAGTGGGCAGGACCCCCACCACGAATGGCTCCGTCTTCACCCACAGCCGCACGGCCGCTGCCGCCTCCATGATGACCGGTACCGCTCGCTTCCGGTGCCCGCGCAGAGCGGCGGCGGCCCGGACCAACGAGACAGAGCTTTCTTCACCCCCTGGTAGACTCCGCTCGGGCCGCGCCGAGCAGCCCAGCCCAGCCCAGCCCAGCCCAGCCCAGCCCAGCCCAGCCCAGCCCCGCCCCGCCCCGCCCCGCCCCGTCCTGTCGGAACCAGCTCCAATTGGCTTTCCAAGCCTTCGCGGCGGCAGAGACTTAACACTGCTTCCTCTGATTGGCTGCCGCACCGCGAAACCCTACTTCCGTGCGGCTTGGTGCGGCGATAGGGCAGGGTGAGGAGTGACGACATGGGCCACGATTGGACCGAGGGGCTCAGAGCTAACGTCCTGGTAGACGATAGGTCAGCGGCGTCGAGCCGGTGGTGAAGTGTGCGCAGCCGATTGGCCACCGGCACGCAGCGCGCGGGGCCACGCCGTGATCTTATTGGCCAGTGGATGTAGCTGGGCCCCGCTTCGCGTCTGCTGGTGTCTGTGCCGGGGCGGGCGGCCGCGGACCCGCCTGTGAAGCGCCGCGCTCTCTCCCCGCCTTTCCCCCGGGCAAGGCGGGCCCGGCCGCGCCGCGCCATGGCCCTGGGCTGGCTCGGCCGTCTCTGCCTGCTGCTGCTCTGCCTCTGCGGAGAGGCCGCCGCAGGGTGAGTGTGCCGGGCCTGTGTCCCCTCCGCCGCGTCTTTGTGCTGGGCCGGCCCCCTTCTCCCTCCCTCCGGCTCAGCGGCCGCTTCGCTGACGGGACCTCAGTCTCTTCCTTTCCTTCTCCCCGCAGGAGGGACTTCTACAAGATCCTAGGGGTGTCCCGCGGCGCCTCCATCAAGGACATCAAGAAGGCGTACCGGAAACTAGCGCTGCAGCTCCATCCCGACAGGAACCCCGATGACCCCCGGGCGCAGGAGAAGTTCCAGGACCTGGGGGCTGCCTATGAGGTGAGGCCGGGACCTGCGGGTTACCCCTGCCCTGCGCCTGTCAGTGGGCATTACTACCTGCAGTGTAGGGCAGGTGTAGTGAGGGTTGGTGTAGCTGCAGGGGCAGATGAGGGGTGAAGCTGTGCACCCTGTTATAAGTAGGTCAGGGAATCTGAAGTCCTCCCATGCTGTGAAGGGTAGATGGGGGTTTGTGTTGGATGGGCTTTAAACAACCTCATCTAGTGGAAGGTGTCCCTGCCTGTGGCAGGGGGCTGTAACTGGATGAGCTTTAAGGTCTCTTCCAACCCATTCTATGATTCTGTGAGCACGAAGCTGAGATTGGCCAACAAGTAGTTTTGTGAAGCTTTATCGTATAGCTTTCAGAGGAACAGTAAAGGAGCCCTTCTAATAAGGTGCAGGTGCAATCCATTGTTCCACTGTTACTATATTAAATTTCAGGCATTGTACCAAATACAAAACAGAGATGGAGAGGCTGCCAGGTTGATTACAGAGTTCCTTCTGTCAAAGGACAGCAGAAGACCTTAGCTTACTTAGCCAGAGGAAAGTGAGGGCAGCAACCTAAATTCTCTGGTATTTATTAATAGCTCTTTGAGGAGGGAATATAGCTGATGCAACCCTGAGTATTGGCACAGGAGCAAATATGTGCATGTTTGTGAGTAAGGCTGAGCTGATAGGAGATAAAAGAGCAGAAAGAAAACACATCTAACTTTACTTTTGTATCAGACCTGAACCTCTTTTTAGTTCAGAGTTACGTATTTAAACAAATTGGCTGAACTATCACAAGGAAGCCAGCGAACATAAGGAATTTTTCTGTGGACAGAAGTGTTTATTACCTGTCACTTGCAGCATCTGGAGATTGATGAATGTGTTTTACTTCAAAGCTGTGAGCTCAGTGTCACTGCTGAGTTGGGATCTTGTCACATTGACAGTATGCATAGGAAGCATTTCCCTACCTCTTCCCTGAGTCCCAGGTTATTTCTTTGCCATAGTAACAGTTGAGAGTACTCCTTCTATTAAAAGCAAATGATTGTAAAATCAAATCAGCAGGGGATGTGGTGGCAGAAGGAGCTGAATATTGATTATGAGCAGTGACTGAGCCTGTTTTCCCCTAACCATGGTGTTATTGAAGCACAACAGCGTCCTTGTTCAACATCAAGTGTGGAGCATAGACATATAGAATGCAACATGCTCTCACTGGATGCTGGTAAAATTAAACTAGGAAACCTCCCTTCAAAGTCTTCAGCTGGAGGCTGATGCATAAGAATGTTGAAATCCAGTATTGACATAAGTGTGCTTTTAAAATAGGTTTGGAAGGAGTAACGTTTTGATGTCCTGCAAGGTCTTTGTTTCTTTGTTTAGCAAGTACAGCTTGCACATCCTTTTGCTAAAGTGGCTGCTAAATTCAGGGTGTTGATTTGATTGTTTCGGGCAAAAGGGAGGTAGAATTATGTGTATGTTGTAACCTAAATGAAGGTGCTTTGTGCCATAACGCAGCAGCCTCTGTAGTAGTACTGCTCTTCAGGGTTTGGCTGGCTGCCTATCTATAGCAAAGTCTTCAAAGAAAATGTGGAGAAAGTAGGTTAATTCAACTGCTTGGTCTCTCATTTTAATAATAGCTTAGGTGATTTCCACCCTGCAGCTGTGTGGTGTGTGCACAGTTGTTTCAGTAAGAAAGAAGAGGGAACTGAGACTACCCTACTTCAGCAGGCATATAAGGAAGCTGGAGAGGGACTTTTCACAAGGGTATGTGGTGACTGGACAAGGGGGAATGGCTTTAACCTGACAGAGGGGAAATGCTCTTCACTATGAGGGTGGTGAGGCCCTGCCACAGGCTGCCCGGAGAAGCTGTATCTGCCCTATCAAGGCCAGGTTGGATTGGGCTTGAAGCAACCTGCTGTACTGGAAGGTGTCACTGCCTGTGGCAGGGGGCTGGAACTTCAAGGACCCTTCCAACCCAAGCCAGTCTGTGATTAGTCTCAGGATGGCTTGAGGGTGGTTGGTTTTTTTTTTCCCCTTAAAGCTTGTCCACTATAATTGCTTTGCTGTCAAGGCAACCAAATGTAACAACCAAGGAGTCTTGAAAATGTGTTCTTAGACTTGTGTTCTCCAACAACTTTGGAAATGTGTGGTTTAATACAAAATAGGACAAAGGGAGAATTTAACTCATCTACTAGATGATGCTAGTAAAGTAATTTGGGTTTTTTTCTGTGTTGTTAGCATTTGCCATCAGTTACAATTTCAGGCTGGTTTTCATCATTTAGCCAGCTTCTCCACCTGTTCAGTTGCTTCTCAATTTGTTTTCACTCCTCCTAGCCTTTTGACCTTCCTAACTGTAGTCAACAGGTGAAGAAGGCAAAGGAAAACTAAATCTGACTGGAAACTTCTGGATCTCTGCAGGAGAAAAGAGCAAAGATCAGTGTTCAGGAATTAAAATTGTAGTCCTGAAAGTTGTATGTGTTGGGATGTGTTATTTTGCCTCAGTACTGAAGTTACTTCTAACTTCTGTGGCCCTTCTGAATGAGGGCCAGCATTCAAGCTGGTGCAGTTACTGTATTTGGCAGGTTCAGCTTGGTGGACAAACTTGCCATCACTGCCGTGAAATAGTGGCTGGAGAAATACATATTCTGCATGCTTGAAGAACAAACTGAGAAACAGGGGTGGCATGCTTTATGGGTTTGGGTTTTGGTTTTTTTTTTTCAGTTTGCTGCTTTGCAGGAACTTATTTGAGTTATTCCTTCTGATTCTTTCTTTAATTTGTAAGAAAACTCAGTGTTACTTTAATTTTCTGTGTTACTTCTTCTGATTGAATAAAAAAACTTATTTTTTATGGGTTTAACTGATAAATGTTTAGCTTTTCTAGTCCAGTGCAGCAAGCAAGTTCTAGCCAGTACTTCTGTAATGTAAAGCATTGCTGCTTGTCCCCCAGTGAAGAGCACGGCTGAGGTGCTTCCTCTCAGAGCCTTATTCAAGTAACTCAGCTCAGCTGTGGGTGAATGTCTTGTCTGCTTTCATGTCGTTGCCAGGTGCTGTCAGATGAGGAGAAGAGGAAGCAGTATGATGCATATGGTGAGGAGGGATTGAAGGATGGGCACCAGAGCTCTCATGGAGACATATTCTCACAGTAAGGAGATTTTGCCACTTCAGGCTGTTTTACTGTTGGGGCTTTAATTTTGTGATGCTTGTGCGCACATCTGACGTGGGCAAATTCTGCGTTAAGGTCTTTCACCCAGTCTGGTGGCACTGATCTGAATCAACAGTTGAGAATTTGAGGAAATATATTTACAGTGGATATCCCATGTGCAGTTTTCAGTTATCTGTCATGCATCAGTCCTCGCTTCAGAATCAGTGAGTGGGAACCAATAGTGTCTTGATGTTTAACCTGTTGTCACAGATCACATATGCACTTTGGGTCACTTTTTTCTTCTGCAAAGTAATGCTGTATTGAGTTAGAGTAAGTTTTAGAGCAACTGTAGAATTTGGATCAGTAAAATCTGAAGGCACTTGCATGTTACTGAGGCAGAACCTGATTTTCTGTTTAAGGCCCTGTCATGGTTTAAAACCAGTCAGACAGCTCGTTCACTCACTCCCCCCCTTCTTGCCCTCCCCATACTCCCAGAGGGACGGAGAGGAGAATCAAAAAGAATGCAACTCCCATGGGTTGAGATAAGAACAGGTATAACACAAGTCACTACTGCTGCCATCAATAATAATAATGATAAAGGAAATAAGGGAAGAGAATACAACACCTCACCATCCGCTGACTGATAACTCACCTAACCAAGCACTGACCGATACCTCGTCCAACCCAGCAGTCCTAGCCCTTCCGGGTAACCCTCAGTTACATCCTGGGCATGACGTGCTGTGGTATGGAATACCTCTTTGTTCAGTTTGGCTCAGGTGTCCTGTCTCTGCTTCCTCCCAGCTTCCCCTCCTCCCTGGCAGAGCATGAGGCTCAGAAAGTCCTTGGTCAGGCTAATACATCATTGTTACCAGCTCTGTTCCCAGACTGAAAGTCAAAACACAGCGCTGCACCAGCTACTAAGAAGGAGAAAAAATGACTGCTACTGCTGAACCCAGGACTGGCCTCTTTGGTTCTGCTAGACACACAGTTACTAGA